CAAGCCCAAGCCAGCTTTTCAAAATCCAGCCCTGCACTCAGCAGCATGAAACCCCGACCTGTGCATGTGGTGAGATTCATCTCAGCCCTTTTGCACCCCACATTTAGAGGAGATCCCAAACACTGGGGTGGTACTGGTCTTCAGCGCTCCCGCAGGGTGGGCTCCCCTTGCACCCTCCTGGCCGCAGCGCGTCGGGCATGCTGGAAGCACATGGCAGTTGAGTCACGCTCGCTGCAAACCCCTTTCCTTGCAGCAGCTCGCGTTTTACAGCCGCTCTTGCAGAGTCTGTGCTGCCAGGCTCTGCATGCACGGCTTGCGCTTCGCACCTAACGAGCGTGTTTGCAACCGCCTGGGCTGCTTGCAGGCGGCTGTTCAGCTTTGCACGAGGCTAAAAGACCTGCACACCCCATCTCCTCTGAGGCTATGGCACACAGATCTGCCCACAACCACTGCGTTTTGGTAGGTATTTTGGAAGCTGCCAAGGACTTGATTCTCTTTCCCCCAGCAAACGCTCTCCTCCTGCTGCAAAAGCACCCAGAAGGCTCTCCGCACTCAGCCCTGGCATCTCCTAAGGCTCCCTGTACCTTTTTGCCCTCCTGCTTCCCTACAGTCCCAATCCCTTGTGCCACGAGAGGCCTTTTGGATTTATAGCAAGAAACTGTGGCCAGCTAGCTCCTGTTAGGCCTTGCCATGCATTTTTAATTAGCAGTATGGATGCTCTTCCAGTGCTGCTTTAATGTGTGTGCTTAGGAGGCAAATGTTTTTACCCATCGCTGCTAATAGCCGTGGCCCTGTGCAAACTCAAGTCAGCTCTTTGCATGGCCCAGCTGCAGCTTGGTTATCACTGCCGTGCAGGCTCTCCTGCCTGTCTGGTGGTTGCCCCGACTCTCGGTAATTTACTGGAGCCACAACATTAGAATCAGGAGTTCAACCTGACGGCCAGATCCATGCAGAGAAACAGGCTTTCCCCACGCAGCAGGCTCTGGTTCTCTGCACTGGCTGTGCTGTCCCTGTGAAGCACTCGGAGCCTCTCCCGGTGCAAGCAGAGGGTGCCCGGGGCCACAGCCGGACACGTGTCCATGCTTGTACCTGTGGCCCCTTGCAACCACATGCAACCTCAGCAACCGCTCGCAACTGCAACCACTTGCACCTCACGGCAGCCTCAGACCCTGTGAGCAATGCCAGCAGGATGAGCAGGCAGCCCTGGCTCCTCTGCCTGCATCTGTCTCGCATTGCTCCCACAGCTATAAACAGCAGCTTTCTCCGTGCACTTGTGTTGTTGTTTGTCCTACACTAACCTAACACTAATGCCCAACTGGGGGCTGCAGTTCCTGTGCCACGTGGCTGGTGTTACCAGCTCCGGAGAGCACAGAGCAGTGCTCCGGGCAAGGGACCCAGCCGGGACAGGCAGGGCTGACCCCAGTCCCTGCAGAGCCCACCAGGCCAGCCCACAGCCCCAGCACATGCTTGCCACGGGTGTTTTTCTTCCCATCTCAGCTCCTGGCAGCGTGGGGGAAGAGGAGAGTGGCAGCTCCCAGCAAGCCAGGCTCCTCCTCGCTACCTGCAGGCGCAGCGGCTGAGCGCTTCCAAATGGGAAAGCAAATAAACAATCTCAGTGAATAAATACAGTCTCTCAAGTCGGCGTTTCAGAGGAAATAACGATTTCAGACTCCTCTCCTGTTTGCTCTCCGGGATCGGGGGAGCCGGGCTGAGCATCTGAAGCCACCAGCACCACCGATCGCCTGTGCCGTGCCTGCCCGTGGCACGCACCGGCAGCCCCTCACCACACAGCCAACCCCTCCCAGACCATTGCTGTTTAATGACAAAACTGCAACCCGGCCCCTGCCCCATGCCGGCACGCCGGTAGAGGCAGAGAAGTAGGACAGCGAGCCTCTTTGCCAGCATTATTTTTCCCTCTGGTCCCTACAGAAATCAGGTTTGGCCTCGAGCCAGCCCAGGGAAGGGGCATCTGCTCCAGTATAAGAAGAAAAGCAAAATACTCCTTAGCCTCTGTTTTGGACCACAGAGACAGCCAGAGGAACCACAAAGCTGAAACTCCCCTCTAAAAGAAATTAAAGAAGTCCTTCAGGCTCCCAGGACGGGAGCTGGAAAAGCCATAACACTCCACAATTTGAGGGTTTTTCTTTTTTTTTTTTTAACCCATACTGTGATTTCTACCTAGCAAGAGAGCATTTGACGCAGGCAGGGCTGATGAAAACAAGGCAAAAGGCAAGCACATCCATGAAATAACACATGTGGAAAGTACCATGGGGCCGATTAGCTTTTCGTGATGCTATCTACAAATTCCAGGAGCCACTCTTCTAGACCCTGTAAAATTGTGGAAAAATGGATCTTAAAATCACGATACAGTTACACAGGGGAATACTATAGTAAGCAATTTCTTTGAGAGATTGCTAAAGTGGTTTTCCTGCGATCCCCCTCTCCTCCGCAGCTTTAACCTGCAAGGACACAGCCTCCCATTGCTTTACTCCGGTGGGAAAGCAGAGTCCCCCGCCAATCCCCCCAAACCTGGGGCATGTGCTGGGCAAGGTCCGGGCAAGGTCCACACTGGTTAGCAGTGGGAGCCTGCTCTGGTTTGCTCCTCCAAGTGATGAAGATGACGGCAGAGCATCCCAGTGGCTTTCCACCCCACCCATCCCTCCTCCAGCATCCCCTGGGGACCTCATCCCTGATGTGTATGACTCATTTTTCTATTTAAAAAAAGGCAAAAGCCCATTTTGCTGCCTCCAAGCAGCAAAAGGACCGAGCACCCATAACCTAGAGGCACCCTGTGAGACAGCCCCTGTCCCTGGGGAGGGTGGGAGTCACAGCCCGAGAGTGCTGGGAACAGTGTCTGTCCCTCGACGCCTCCCAAAGTGAATCAGCAGTGTTTTACTATACCAAGGCCCAAATCCTCATTCAATTAAAAGCCACGGAAGGTTCCTAATCCTTTCCATTATAGATAAGTAATAGCTGGTTCTTTGCAGAGGAGCAGGAAAGGGAGGCACCTTACGGTCCCAGCCATCAGGGACACCGTGACAGAGCACGTCTGCCCGGCATTGCAACTGGTGCTGGGAAAAGCATTCGGATACGAGGGCTGTGGCTCCCCAAGTGACCCAGAGAGCCCCTGATTTAGCAGCTATGGTGGTAAACAGGGGATCCCGTGGGTAGGTACTGCGAAGCGTGGTTATCAGTGCTCCCAGCAGCATCTCCCACTCTTACCCCCCAGTAAGATCCAGATGGTGGATCAGCAAATCCCAGATATCAAATGGATCAGCTCCAGCCTTCCCAGTAAGGACACCCTAAATGGCAGGAGACCAGACTTTCTCGGGAACTGCCGGTACAAACCCATGAGGTCGATCAGACCATAAATTGCCCATCCGTGTAGCTCACCGGCTCCTCGCACACGGCAACTGGGGCTCTAGCATGGGGAGCGCTGCTTCTAATTGCTGCAGGCGCTGAAGGACGGGGACGAGGGCACATGAGGAGCGCCGATGGAAGCAGCCGTGGCTTTTGCAGAGAGCCGGTCATTAATGCAAGAAACAAGGTGCAGGGCAGGTCGCTGGTGCCAGGCATGGGCAGTGCTGGGCACGCACGGGCTGCGGCACAGCAGTGTGAGCAGGCAGCAGCTGCGCAGCCACGATAAAGGCAGGGGAACCACACCGCCAGGCAGGAAAATTCACCTTTCCTACAATACTCAATTATGCCTGGGCAATAGGTGCTGCAGTCAAGTCTCTAATCTCATTGATACGCCAGAAGCAGCCAAGAAATGGTCTTTTTTCGGTCTAAACTCCCAAGTGGTTCAATCCTGCCTAATTCCCCCGTCAAAGCAGCAAGATCCAGACACTGCCATCTCCTTTAGGAAGAAGAAAACCAAATCCTCGTGGCAAGGTCAAGCCCTTGCCACCAACTCTCCCCTTTCTACCCCAGCCTGGGTTTCATGATCCATCTGCCCGCGCACTCCATCCTGCACCCCCAGAAGGACCCTGGGAGAGACTGAGCAGGAGGGGGACCCCAATGCTGGCAGCACAGTGCCTTTGCCTGGGGTTAAAAACCAGCCTTTCTGCTCATGACGAAGTAACTATTGAAGCATGTTTCCCCATCACAAGCCATCCAATTTGCATCCCGCAGAGCAATACCACTCTGCAAATCTCCAGGCTTTATAGGAACCAGGGTATAAAAACATTCCCAGTGCAACGATGCCAAAATTGATGCTGAAATTAGGCTGGGAACAGAACTGGCACGGTTGCTTCTCACCCATAAACTAAAATGTACGTATATGGCCAATCACCCACAACAACATTGCACTCTGTGATCACCTGTAGCTTTTTTTTCCTGCTTCCAGCTTTGCCCACAGTTCGCTCGCTGCGTACCCCAAGAGCTCAGGCATCAGCAACTTCAAGCGTCTGCAAACCACAGGAACCCAGCACAGCTTCATCAGCACCGACAGACGTTTGCAGCACGAATACCAAAGGTCTCACATCCCTGTCAGACACTGAAACACTGCCCCTGCCCCTGCCCCAGGGAGGGGGTCCGAGACCACCGAAGGGGCTTCCCAAGGCTGCCACGGGGATGCAGGCACATCCACCACCTGGTCCACAGGGAGAGCAGATGCACAGTGCCCAGAAACCATGTCCACTCTTACAGAGCTGCCCTAGGGAGCACAGGAGGAGGAGGAGGGAAGGAAGAATGCCTCCCCGCTCCCCAGGGACAGCCTGGCTGCTTGCTGCAGCCCATGCCCACAAGGTTTTGCTCTCTGCAACGGGTTGCACAACCAGCCCAGAGATGGGGGCCAAAGCCCTTAGAGCTCCCTTTGCCCAGAGACATGTAACACACACCTCTTTATTCCCCATCTCCTGCCCAAATGGGATGGACTGACCCCATCTCCATCACAAAGGAAACTCAGCATCTCACAAGTTCCCAGGACACAGAAATCCTGTCTGTGGCTCCCCATCCCCATCTCCAGCTGCCCAAAGAGACCCCAGAGCAGTGCTACTCACATTGTACAGGACTGTGGTCCACCCTTCCATGGTGATACACTGGAAGACAGTCAACACAGCAAAGAGGATGTTGTCAAACTGCGTGATCCCATCGTTGGGACCAATCCACTCTCGGCACTCGTAGCCTGGGGGGCAACCCTGGACCCCACACGGATGGGGGGGGTCCAGCTCCTCTAGTTCACCTGCAAGCACACAGCAGAGAGCCAAAGGAGGCAGAGATAAGAGAGAGGCAGGGGACAGACAAGGGGAAGAGCCTAAACACAGACGGGCTTGGGGCAGAGCAGGGGACCCTGCTGGGACTAGCCCTGGCTGCACGCAAACTGCTCCCGTAAGAAACTGAGACATCCTGAACGCAACTGGGTGATGCCTGGTGTGCACAAAGCAAAATGCAGGATCTTCTCAGCCCTGGGCTTCCCACAATACCAACATGCACTTGCCCTGGCTGTTTTCCACCTGTGGGATGTGGCGCAGGTGCAGAGCCCTTCTCCCCACCTGAATTGTTTGTGTAGCAGGCTCGGTGCAGCTTCCCACTGTAAAACTCCAGGCCAATGATGGCAAACATGAGGATAGCGAAAAAGAGCAGCAAGCCAATCTGGAGGAGAGGCACCATGGCCTTCATGATGGATTTCAGCACAATCTGCAGGCCTGGGAGAAGAAAGAAAGAGCACAGCTCAGCACAGTAATGCAAGCCCCCTGCCTGGGGCACGTCCATCCCACCACTGGCAAGAGGAGAACAGTGAGCAGAGAGGATGGACAGTCATCAGACAGATGCAAGAGGCCAGCACAGCCTGGAGGATCTCTTTAGGCAGCTGAGGACCACGGAGGAAAGCACCATCCTAGGGGGAGCAGGGAGGGCCAGGCTGCAGAGCAAGGTTCCAGGAGGGCTGGTTTCTGGATCTGGTCCCCCTTCTGGTGTCCTGCCTGTCCTTGTCCCATCCGGACTTGGTGGGACATGACCCATGCAGCTCTGTCCCCCTCACTGCCCCCAGGGCACAGATCCAGCACACCGCCCAGCCGGTGCCCAGGGCAGGAGGGGCAGGAGGACCAGAGCTTGCAGCAGCCTAGTTTCTTTATTTATCCCCGTGCCGGCAGATGAAATCTTGCAAAACCCCCAAAATTTCCCCTGAATAAACCTCAGTCCTAAAAGGATCCACCCACCGCCTTCTGGCCAGGGAAGCGGAGCTGCTGGCGGGCCCCGGCAGCTGCCGAGCCCAGCCTGTGCCAACACAGAGCAGGCTGGGTGGGGGGAAATGCCACCCGGGGACAACAAATGCTGCTATCCTAGAGTTCCCACTACATGGGGAGGTTTGTCCCCCTCTTCCCTGATTTCACCCCATGTCTCTGAGGTGGCACGAGGACCCCTCTCACTCTGAAGGACGTCAGGGATGGATGCGGACACCCCGGGAGGAGGACTAGGAGCATCCAACTTACTGGGAATGCCCGAGACAAGCTTCAGAGGTCTGAGCACGCGCACAGCCCGCAGCGTCCGCAGGTCCACGTGGGTGTTGAAGTGCGTCCCAGCTGTGGCGAGGATGCTGCGGGCAGACAGAGAGAGAGCAGAGTTACCCTGGGCAGTGCCCTCGGCCACCCCGGTGCCAAAAGCCATGTTCTCACTCCAGGCCAGGGGGAGCCGTGAGGAGCACCATGTCCCTGGGCAGATACAGAGATTCAAAACCTCCCAAAACCCACATGCCAGCAAGCCCCGTTTGATACTGGCACCAAAGCTCATGAGCCACTCTGGCCAGTCATAGCCACCCAGGGGCCAGCCAGCCCTGGCAGCCCCCCATCGATGCCCCCTGTGTACCAGGATGGCTGGGGACAGCCCCACACCGCAGTGCTGGTCATCACCCATGCCATGCAGTAACGCTGCAGATGTAGTGCTCATCACAGCTGCATGGGTTTAAACTCTCTTCCAGGCAGGTGGCACATGGACCACAGACGGTGCCCCAGAGATGGGGGTTGCTCCCCTGATGGTCACCCATGCTCCCCTGGCAGCACCACCAGCCATCAGCTGCTCCGGCTTTTTCCACACATGGAGCTTCCTTAAAGTCCCACCTCTGGGACTGCCAAGAAGGAGCAGAGAACCTCACATGCATTCAAAAATCTATAGTAATGAAAGTTTGATGACCTTGGAAGGCAACCGGCAGGCACAGGAAAGACTCCAGAGGTTTTCTTTTAAAACACGAAGATTTTTGCAAGCCCATCTCTGGAAAATAAATTGGGGCAGAAGGGAGTGGGTGCACACTGAGTCCAGCAGTGGAAATACTTGGGGCCCCTGTACCTGCTGGTGGGACGGGGATGCTGCGGCTCAGGGATGCTGGCAGAGCCGCGGGAGCACATATGGCAGTGCCAGAGTTCATGGCCTCCTCTCCCATCCGGGCTTGGTCCCTGAGGCGCTGGATGAGGAGGAGGAGGAGGGAGGGAGGGCTGTAGTGGAGGAGCAGGGGATGGGAGAGGAGGGGATGGGGAGGAGAGCAGGACAGAGGGAGGCAGCAACCTCAGGGCTGTTTGCAGTAATCCAAAAACCGAGGGAAATTGGGTCATTGTTCCACTAATTCATCTAATTACAGGCCAGAGCAGCTCTCTGGCGAGCTGAGCAATTAGCATTCTTTCTCTCCCCCTCTCCCCGAGGTATGGCAGGTACCAACCTGCCCCTCCAGAAAGGCAGCTGGGTTTCCTAGGATACCCCGACAGCAGAAATGCTCTCACATCAGTAAACCAGGTTGTTTCAACTCCTTTTCCTAGCCTCCTCTTCCTCCCTTTCCAGGCACAAGGGGTCAGCTGCAAAATCCATCCCAGCAGCAGCCGGGATGCATCACCCCAGCATCGCCCACAACTCCCCGTGTATCAGGCTGCTTACCCTCGATATATATGAGGACCTTTTACCCTTGATGGCACGTTCCCTTTCCCCCGTGCCCCAGCCCGTGACCAGCCCCTGCTACCCACGGGGCTGATGGGAGAGCAGAAAAGGGACACTTAATTAAGTCAGAAGCACCCAGAGGCTAGGGAGAGCTGCGTTGTTAAACTGGTTGTAAGATCAAAATCAATAAATATGATAAAGCACTGCCACTCGGCAGCACGTGGGAGAGAGAAGAGCACGGGTGCTTTCATCTCTTTCATGCAATCTGCCAGCGAAAGCAGAGTAACCCAGTACTCCCCAAAACACCGGTGTAGAGGACATGCTGTGCCCAACGCCGCGCTGGAGACCCTGAGACCCTCCTTCAGCTTTTGCTCCTCACATCCCAACACCTGGTGTCCAACCAGCCTCCCAAAGGGACAGGGAAAAGGTATTTGCAGCCCCTGCACCGACTCCAGCTGAGGCTGAGCATCTGCAGAAGGCCATGGATGCTCCTGGGCTGGACATGGGCTCCAGCCCTTCTCCTGAGGGCTCACTGATGTAAGCCCAGCTGGAAAGCTCCTGGCAGCAGAGTGGGATTGACAGCTCTCTCCTACCACCACGGAGCAGCACGAGCCGTGGTCCTGCACAGCCGCATGGAACGATGGAGGTGGAGCCATCACTGCTCCCAGCCCCACCGCACATCATCTCCCTGGGGCAGGTCCATCACCTGAGGCACCCCTGGACCGGCGCGGCAGAGGGGAGCAGAGCGCCCTGGCTGCAAAGTCCTCTGCTAACCCAGATTTGTTTGAAGGGCTCAGGAGCCGTCGCACTGAGCCTTCAGGCAAGGTTCAGGCGATTTCAGGGCACTACTTCCCCGTGCTCTAAATTAGCTGCTAAGAATGGGACTCCTCTGTGGCAAGGTGACATGCTCCTTGTCCTCGCTGGGGGACAAGGGACATCACGAGCTCTTTCGGAAGGGGGTTTGGACAGATCACCAGAGTGAGGTGGTTGCAGTGCAGACGTGTCTCCCGACCGTCAACAGAAAGATGACCCACCGCTACGAAATAGGTGCCTGCGCATCCTTTTGCAGGCACAGCCAGCGTCTCCCGGCAAGGGTGGATGCACTAGGAGCACATGCTGCTGGAGCTGCTCCTGGCAAACCCATCCATCCCAGAGCACCGAGGCACCCCAGAGCCTCCGAGCAAGGTCTGAGCAGCCCTGGGCCATTTTTAGACCAATTGAGGTGGCTGGAAAAAGCTAAGCAAGCTTCCAGGCACACGAGCCTGGCTTCTGCCTGCTTTTCCCAAGCCCTTCAGTGGCTCTAAGTAACAAACATCCCCTCTCCCCGACAGCCAGGCTTCGCTAGTACACACAGACACCACCACCACGTTACCGCTAATAATAAATACAACGCTCAAAACACACCTTCCTGCTCTGGACTTCAGCATCTCACCTGTTAATTGCTTATTAACCTTCTAAGCATGCCTTTTTTTTTTTTTCTTCTCCAGAGGGCCACCCATATCACCCAGCACAACCCATTTCCAATTTATTTATTGACACACATTAGGGTTTCTTATAGCTCCTCGGGATGCACAGCACAGAGACGGGACTCGGGCTGTGACAGACCTTTGTGCTGACACAGGGTGGCTGCTCCGGTATCTGTAGAACAATTTAAACCCTTTTCAAACACTTACAATATCCACGTCTGATGTGCTAATAATTATTCTTTATTTTTAGGCAAGGACCCAAACTAAAATTACATCTCACCATCCAAGTTATTTGAAAAAGCTGCCAGATTGGGCTATAAAAATCGCAATGATCTCATGCTTTTCATCATATGTACTGGAGAAAAAAAGAAGAAAAAAAAATGAAGGCGTTTTTATAGGTCACCCAGGCAAAGGGGTTAGTTTTACTTCTTCAGAGGAAAGGGGGAAGAGACTTCAGGTGGAGAAAAGAGCAGAGAGGAGCTATTGGAAGAATGCAAATGAGAGAGGAGGCAGGATGGGAAATATATGCTAATCCCCAAAGTATAATTGAATAGTGAGCAATCACCGGCAGACAAAAACATGTTTTCAGCGGGGAAAAAAAAAAAAAAAATCCAATGCTTTGTGTTTGCAGCCATGATGATTATTTTATTTTATTTATTTACAGGCTGCGGGGGGAAGGGGGAGCTCCTGCTGGGCCCGCCGCACCTGCAGGCTTTGGGGCTGGCTGCCGGCAGAGTGATACTTAGCCCTCGGGCACCGCTCCAGCTCACAGCAGCTGAGCAAAGCGCACGCCCTCGCCTCCAACTGAAGACCCACACCTATGGATTTCTCTTCTCGGGAGGGGGAAGGGAAAAAGAAAAAAAAAAAAAAAAAGAATAATCACATTTAAAATTACTCTCTGCTCTTTGGGACTTAGAATAAACCACGAGCAATGCTCAGTGACCCTGCCCACACAAAGCCTTTTTAGTAGCACAGAGCCAGCACCAAATTCAGGCACTATCACACACTACAGCACTCACCGTGCCTCCGCTGCCCATGCCAGGGGCTGCGCATCGCACCCACTCCCATCCCCATCATCCCATCAGGAGCGGCACCAGCAGCCCTGAAGCCTCAGCCCTTGGTGATGACACACACAGCTCGGGGCATGCCACAAAGGGCTTTGCACCGGGGAGCCCAAGCAAAGGCTGAACCCCAAATAATCAGATCAACCCTCGATTCATCCCCTCACCCCAAACTGAGCATCCCTCGACCACTTCCATCAGGGACCGCTGCAGAGGCACATGCAGACAAGCCGCCCCAGCAAAGGGCAGCTCCAGGGTGTGCTGGGTGGAGGGAGGGATCGTCTGAGACAGACTAATCTCAGCTCAAAATCTGGGGCAGGGAGGGTGCTGGCTGGCTGGCTGACATGCAAATTAATATTTATAATTAAGTGGAAAGGCCTCTGAAGGCCTGCACTGCCACCTGACTCTATGAGGGAGACTACTTCATAATTAATACACTGGTCAAACGGCTCAGGGAAAGTAAGTTACCTGATGAATTTACCCCATTCTTGCCCTTTTCTGCTGGTGAATCAATCCCTCCCCTCTCTGCAGACAGCGTCACGAGTAGCAGGCTGGACTCTAGGCTCTTTGGTCCAAACCCTGCTCGAGGCAGGGCCAGCGGGATCGGGTTGCCCACCCTGAGGATGCCCCAGCAGAGCACAGTGCTCCTGCTTTGGCGATGCCAGGAGACAGGAACACCAGGCCCAAGTCCTGCCCTCGGCACAGTTCAGAGCAACCTCAAAGCCTCCATCATCTCCACTTGCTCTTTCCAGGTTTCAGGGCCATGACACAAGTGGATTGCACTGCTGCAAAGCTGCTGATCCCATCTTTCCTGGCAGCTTTGAAAGCCCTGAGCTGGGCACCAATGACTCCCTGCAAGGTGTGATGAGGGCGAACACAAAATCTGCCTTCACCAGCCTTCGATCTGGGGGACAAAATGATCCCCCAAGGCCACCTCTTCCTGGAGAAGCCCCCAGGATTTGGCACACAATGGAGCATCCCCTCTGCAAGCCCACCCTGTGGCCTCCCTCCAGCCCCTGCGACGCCTGTCAGCGGATGCAGGATTTCGCAGGGGGAGGAGATGCTGGTGAAACTGTTTGCACAAATAGGACCTGGTGGAAACCTGAAGTCATTGCCAGGAGGCTGGAGAGCTGGCCCTGCAAAGACAA